TATATATATATATATATATATATATAAGGAATTCTCATCCTTCAATTTTAGAACAAGGAAAGACCCTAAGAGATCATCTGGTTAAAAATTTCCCAAAGTGGGTTTCAGGAAACATTACTTTTCTAAAATGTTCTGAATGGAGGCAAACGACTCAGGAAGCCCAGGAGCACTCCTGGAGAGTCATAGTGCATCTTAGGTTATTAACAAAGCCAAGAAGCCTACAGAAAAGAAATAGGTTTTTTTAAAAACAGAGATTTAATTTTGTTGAACCTATTTGAGCACAGAACTCCTTTTTCCCCCAGTAAGTATTTAATAAAATCCTGTAAAACTAATATATATATATATTTAATTTATCTTTATTGTTGAAAGTATTACAGATATCCCCTTTTTTCCCCATTGATCCCCTCCACCCTGCATCCCCCCACCTTCAGGCCTTCCCCATACCAATGTCTGTGTCCATGGGTTATGCATATAAACATGTAAGTTCTTTGATTAATCTCTTCCCATCCACTCCCCCACCCCCAACTTCCCTCTGACATCCCTCAGCCTGTTCCATGCTTCTATGTCTCTGGATCTATTTTGTTTATCAGTTTATTTTGTTTATTATAGTCCACATATCAGTGAGATCATATGGTACCTGTCTTTCTCTGACTGGCTTATTTCACTTAGCAAAATACTCTCCAGTTCCATACCAGTCAGAAAGAACTTATGCACCCCTATGTTCATAGCATCGCAATTTACAATAGCTAAGATCTGGAAACAGCCAAAGTGCTCATCAGTAGATGAGTGGATAAAAAAGCTGTGGGACATTCACACCATGCAATACTATGCAGCTGCAAAAAAATTAATATTTTGTAGAAAACCTCTTGTCTTATATATGAGGAAACTGAAGTCCAGACAGGCTAGGAGATTATCCCAAGGTCATAGAGTTAATAGGTGGATAAGCTAAAAACATTTCTCCTTTCAGTACCACACTTCAGTGCTCTTTCTAGTCCTGTGTCATCTCTCTCCTACACCACTTGCAGTCCTTGAGGTATCATACACTATAACAGCAACGCTGGAGATCATCTAGTCCAAAGTCCTCCTATGAAAAGTGGAGAAATACTGTCTCACAGAAGTAAAGCACTGTACCCAAATTGACACACTAGTTCAATTCCTAGAACTAGAACCCAGCTCTTAATTCCAATACCAGTGTCCTTTCTGCCATGGCATACTAACTCCTGCAAAACAATACTTTTTACCTCTAAGGAAAAGGAGTGATGAACAGGAAGAGCTTCAGCTATTTAGGACCCAGTAAAATATTTATTAAGCTATACTTGAGTCAATAGGTATTTTAAATCAGTTAAACATGATTGTCTTTACTTACAAATGTCATCCACTGTGACAGGGAATCAATGTTTCAAGCTGTTCAACAGGTCATCATCCCTGTCCTGTTGGATGACACCTGTAAATAAAATAAATCTATTTTTGAGTAAGTAGATTTTAAGTCAACTAGACTTAAGATGCATGCAGTTTAAAGCAAAGAGTAATTTTTAAAATGATTCTTAATTACGTACTGCTGGATAGAGATATTTTCCAGTGCCAACTGTTTCACTCTATGTAGCTATCACTGGCCATCAGCATGAGAAAATCCAGGTTATATGACATGTAATATTGCCAGAATGCATTGGGAATCATGGATTCTAGAGCTAAAAGGGTCCTCTAGGCATTATCTACCTCAGGCTCTTGCCTCTTGTGAATATTATTTTTACTTTGTAGGAGGGATCACCCAGGTCCCAGGAAGTTAATGTTATATAGCTAAGTGTCTTTAGCTTAAGTTTCTTGTTGAGGAAAAGTATATAGAGAACACATCTGCGAAGGTTATCATTAGGCTGATCAACTTTGAAAGACTCACATGTACATATTTTTAAATATCTCACAAATGTTGACTTAGAATATTCAAGCACATCTGCATAAGATGTAATTATCAGTTTTAGATATTTAAATATAAGCATTATTGAAAAATGTCATGAATGGAAAAAACCCAAAGTGAGAAAATGGGAACTAGAGAGTGAAAAGAACATTAAATACAGCATGCACTTAGGATTCTAAATTCTGGTTACTTCCAAAAAAGATTTATGGTTCTGAACAAATGAGTATATGAAAAGCCATTTTCTACAAATTTTCTATAGTCTATAATTTAAGATGTTGCTTTCTCTGTAGCCACAAAATGCTACTCTAAGTAAGACCTGCCAGAAACTAAAATTTGGACTGAACAATGAACATTTAAAATTTCCATTCTGTACCTGAATACTCCAAGATAACTGGAGTATTTTAGGAGTATGCTGCCTTGAGGTGATATAGTTGTTACAACAACATTATCACCAAATTCATATTGAGTGCTTACTATGTGCCTAGCATTGAGTGATTGTTTTACACATACTATCTTATTCTATCAGTCCTTACAACTTGATAATTATTACAATTTTACGTATAAGCACATCAAAGCACAGAAAACTTAAGTAACTTGCTAAGGTTCCCTCAGCTGGGAAAATGGAAAGATCTGTGCACAAATCTATTTTGTGACAGAATCCAAGCTCAAACCACTACACACTACTGCATTTCTTTAATATAGCAACTGAAGATTCTAAAAAATATAATAAATTAACATGATTCCAATAAGAATACATAAAATTCCACCAACTAAATCCCACTCAATAGAAAACATCAGGAAATTCACTCTTTTTCTTGGGGTGGAGGGGAGAGCAGGGACATTTTCAAAGTAAAATAATCTTAGTGCAAGGAATTAAAAGCTCTGATGTTAACCTTAAGTATGTTATAATTAAAAATGACAAATGAAAACTTAAATTCTCTTATAATTAATAAAAGCAAATCTTCCTGATTAAATTACTTCCTAATAGTCCACAATGAAATACATCCTCCTGATTATCAAAATAGTGTGTTATTGATAAACTGAATTTAATAATATTTTTAAAAATACGAACATATATCACATTTTATAAATATCAGAGCTATTCCTATGGGGAATTATCTTTAAAGGAAACAAAAAATAACCAACCTCTTACGTAATATAGCAAGCTTTTCTTCGCCATAAATTATGCTTCTGAACTGAACCCCTTAACTTTTTTACCAGGGAGTTTTCCCAACATATTTTTAAAACTGTGAAAATGGTAAAACAGGAAATAATCAGGAACACAAAAATACACCTGACATATTTCAACTAAGTAAGAATTAGATATATGCAAAGCTCAGGACCACTGACACTAGACATTAAGGAAAACACGTATTCTTTTCAAAGCGCTGTGGAGAAGTCAGTCTCTGCTGGCAATCATGACTTTCTTATAAGGACCCCAAAGAGAAGAAGATACAGTGTGGTTTCATGGTAGCTTACCCTTTTTTCTGATACCCCATCCTGGCCTGTAGAATCTTTATCATCATGTGTCTCTTTCAGGACTGGCATATGTTTTTGGTATGCTGGCTCTCTGTTTAAGGTTGTGTATCCTATGTGCTCATATATTGGGTTTATCGTCATCTTGGCAATGTATTCTGCTGCCTTGGTTTCAATATAGAGAGTAATCAATCCATCAGTCACCAGATCGTGGATGGACTCAAAGCGCTTCTCCCCAACAAAGTGCTTTCCATCGTAGTAGAGCCTGAAGTTTCTGGTTTGACTTCCAAATCTGCCTCAATGAAATGGGAAAGATGTTTTTAGGAAAAGTAAGCAAGTGAATTCTTTCTGAAAGAAAAAACAACAACCATTGGTCTGTGTGTCTTTGTTTGTTAAATAAACTGTGGCTAATCTCTATGAATCATCTAGAATATAGAAAATTAAACTTTTGAACACAAAGAGTGAACTTGCAACAACTAGGGATAGCACGTCTGCCCTAGAAGGAAAAACTTGTTCTTATTTATCTTTTAAGCCACTGCATTATGCCTATAGGGAAAAAAGAGGGGAAATAAACCTACTATCCTATTAGAACACACTTTATATTCCATTGGCCAACTCTGCAATATATGAAATTTCTATATTAACATGTTCTCTTCAAGTTGATCAATAAAAATATTCAATGCACTTTAGACACCAGCATTACTGTCTTCTAATGGGAAAGCTCCATTTAGAGCTCACCTGAGCGTGACGTCAGCCTTCATTTAAAGTAGAACTGATTCCAGAACCTATGTCAAACAGTGGGGCAGGATGGCAAGAGGAACATACTTTAGCTATTTCTAGCCAAAGGTCAATGACTCGCTCCTCCATTTTACACAGTCATTTTTCTGTGTTTGCTTGTTGAGTCTGGGCATGAAACATCTGCAATATATATGGCAAATAAGTCATAAACTACTGGACTCTTGAAATTCCATTCTCACTTTTGAGTTATGTTTTAATGACATACTTTAAAATCTGGAAGAGAATGGTTTAGTTTTATGATAATTTCAGTCTTTTGCTTCCTGCAGCAAACCTCAGAAATGGATCCAAGTTGGCACAACTAACACCAGTGTCCTTGCAAGACAAAGGCAAGAACGTGCACTGACTTTAATAAAAGCTGACGCCAAAAGGCACCAAGGACTAGCATTGTGGTCTCTGAAATGTAGCCTTGAGTGTACATAATTAAAAAGGAAAAAAATCATAAAGAATATATTTAATTTCACTGTTAAAAATACACAGAACAGAGGCAAACTAAAATACTAAAATAATACCCTGTTTAATACTAAAATAAAGTATTTAAATAGAACCTTGAACTTATGCAAAACAGTCCTCTAGTATAGATTTTATTCCTGAAGGAAAGGCGTCAGAAACTTAAGATTTTACTTTTAATGTGTCCTTTAAAAAGTTAAAGCATCATGTTTTATAATGTCCTGAGGTATTAGACACATACCTAATGTAGTTCAAATTAGAATTTAATAATTATTTAATCTAAAACCCAACATTCTATCCATGCTGGTCATTTCTCTAAAATAAAATTTATTCACTTTTTGGTTCTTTAGAAGCAATTAAATTTGATTCACACGCAAGTGTATGATCCACATAATTCCACTTTCCCATTCTCCATTTTCCTCTAATGTTAAAGATGTGTTTCTCCCAAGTAAATTGTCATTATAATGTAAGTCTAAAAAATTAGAAGGTAAAATTTCTACTCCAAAGTTAAATATAAAAGTTTTTTTCAGTTTAATATGCTGCTTTATTATTTCCTCTTTGCATTATCTGTTATCGAGAAATCAACATAGAAAGCCATTTGATAGTTTTTATAAGTTCTTACAACAATAAATATAACATTGTTTAACATGAAGTCCCTCCATATTTCAGATGGATTCAGGGGCATTTCAATGAGGGATTATGCCATTTTACTTCTGCAGGGACTTATGTTTTTACAATTTCCACAATGGGCATAGCACTTATAGGCTATCCAATCAATGGCGGTCGGCACTTATCACTCAACTGTCTTCTGAAATCTGAGAGGTATGGGAGCATAGGGCAGAAGGGAAACGGGCTCTGAACTGGCCTCACCTGGGCTGGGATGGTTAGGCTGAAAGAGTAGAAGTCTGGGTTAGACTTCCTGGTACTTAACAATGGGGCTATTTCTAATCTGTCCAAGGAGAGGGTTTCCTGTCTACCTCTAGATTATTGGGTGAAAGAGACTAAGTTTCACTTTTTCTCACAGTGACTTCAAGAGACCCTACGCACGATTCCCAATTCCTCCTCAGCTCTCGGGCCAATCAAACTTCCAGTCTAAAGGGAGCTGATGAGATAACTAAAATAACTTACAATATAGGTTGATTAAAACTTAACATCAAAGGATAACAATATGAATTTCCATTTTGGAATTATAATTTTTTAAGGAAAAATTGTATTACTTTTACCAAAGGAACTGTACCCTTTCTTTGCCTACTCTGTACTGTCCTCTCTTCTGCTCTGGAAGTTACATAAAGAACAGCGTAACAGGACAGACCCACAGGGATTTCTCTCCTTCCCTGATGTGAAAGGCATGATAGAAAAATCTCTGAGCGAGGTGGTAAATGGGTATGTCTATTCTACAAAGAGGAGCCATAAAAGGGAGATATAAAATCTAAAGGCAAAGAAAGAATCCTTTCTTACAAAAGTTTACCACTCACAGACTGTCATTTATTCAACAAACAGTTAATAAGACACCACGAACGATGTTAAATATTAGATAGTACATAATAAAGTTCCTATTTCCTTGATAATCTCAATGGGAAATAGAAAAACATAAAAGCGAGTCAATACAAAGACAAGAAGAAATGCTGAATTTTAAAAAGTTCATCTTTGATTTCTAAAAAGTGATTTTAAAAAGTGTATAACTTTGTGCTTATATAGAAAAGTTATATTTCTATACAGTGATTCATAAAACCAAGTGAACCCAGTATCTCCCTCACTGTGAAAACCAAGAAACTTACTGCTTAGTAAGATCTCAGCATGCAACCCCCGCGGCTTACATAAGATCTCAGAGCTGCTGCATATGTCCAAATATAAAAGCCCCCTTGCAGTCTTGAAATAGGGTTTGGCCAGAGGCAGGCAAGTCCTGGGTTCAATGGAAAACCCTGGGCTTTGGCATCAGACAGGTTAATTTTAAATCCTGAACCTGCCACTTCTTAGCTGGGTGACTTTGGGGAAATCATTCTTCAGATTCCACATCTTGAAAATAGGAGTAGTATCACTCTACCCCACATGGTTGTGAGGACTGCACTGAATATTTAAGTCAAAGCTAAGTATCTAGTAGGTTCAATGAGTGGTGGTTCTTTCTCCTCTGTTAGCTTAGCCACTGCAGACAGGGACAGAAAGAGTTAGCAAACAATAAAGTAAAGGAGAAAAGACACTCAGTAAATACGTATTGAGGGGGTTCAATAAATAACTGGTAACACTGGTTGTCCAGGAACACCTCTGCACTGAGTAATTTTACAGTAAGAAACAGGCAAGGAAGAGCTCTGTGAGCTTTCCTTCCGGGGGCCCTGAGTAAGGGCTACTTCGTTGAACAGAGTGGACTACAACAGAGCGCAAAGGCGGCAGGAGAGAAGCACGCAGGGCTGACCACTGTGCCCGGGGAGTTAGGTCTCTGAATTTAAAGGACAAAGGTCAGTAAATATACCGAAAGGGGGACGTGTTATATGGTCTAGTGATGACTGCTGATTCTAAACTGCAGACTACTGATCTGTACAAACTGTTAAAGCTAAACCATTTTCTCCACTTTTTTTTTTCATTTTTTCTTATATTTATCATCTGCCTCTGCCCTTTCTTTTAAATAGCTGTTTATTCTTTGGTGAACATGTTTGACACTGTACAGGCCCAACTCTCACCCAGACAGAGTTCAACAGTATGAGCCACAGTTAACAAACAGAATAGAGAGACCGTGATAGTCTGCTTTGAACTGCTGCTGCTGCACATAATTACCACTTTCTAGAAAGAATGTCTTTTCTCCAGCGTTCCAGGTTTTGGTTTTCATGTTTTAAAAAAATGTTTAATGCTGTGCCCAGCTGCATTCAGATGAATTTCAAAATACATAATTCTAACATCAGCTTTAAAAAGTGAACAAAGCCCTTAATACCATTCTTTCTATTTTTTAGCAAGTAAATCATACTCACAAGAAATTTGTTCTAGGGGTACAAAGTGATGAAATATGTATAAAAAATAGCCTTTGAGATTATACTTTACTTTTTTTAAAAGCAAGAATTAGTTCTGATTTGGGCGAAAGTATTTGGAAGTATCTCTTCAAAGGAAAGCTCCAAGCTAACAGATGTTTTCTGTTAACAAACAAAATAAAACATATACAACACACTTGTCTAAGTTAACAATAAAATGTTAGAACTATTTCCAGAAACCAACATACAATTATTTATAATATATATTTGTGTATTGTTTATCAGAGTCAAAGAAGCTAATCTAATGGTGAAATACAAGTATCTCATAAATTCATTTAATCATAAACATACCCTTAGAAGAAAGGTTAAAACTGAGAAAAGAATATGATGAGGCATTCACTTAAACACCAGAAAATGAATTTGGATGGACTAGGGAGGGTTAAGGAGAGAACACAGCTAAATATAATTTTAAAATATTTTCTACATCTAAAACTGTTACTAGGATACATTTGTCTATATTGCTATATAATTTTGGATGGTAAAGTGGGCAAAAGTATTACAATATGTGAACTCATGACGGATAGTTCCTGGGTAGGATAAATCATCTCAGGAAAGAAACAAACCCATGTGCCTAACTAAACCTCCAAAGCAGCACCAGGTGGCTCTGGAACTGGAAATGATACAGGATTAGCTGAAGGTCTATTTAAGAAACAGTTAGAGCCCAGCCGGCATGGCTCAGTGGTTGAGCATCGACCTATGAACCAGGAGGTCACCGTTAGTTCAATCCCCAGTGGGGGGTGCAGGAAGCAGCCGATCAATGGCTCTTTCTCATCATTGATGTTTCTCTCTCTCTCTCCCCACCAACCTCTCTGAAATCAATAAAATAAAAAAAAGGCATCAGCAGTTAGATATTTCCCCCACCCTCCCCAATCCTGTCCCCAGTGCAACCCCTTCCCCACTCTGATGGAAGACTTAAGTTCTGTTTTCTACATAGGATAAAATAAGGAGAGCTGAACTGAGGAACACCGGAAAGAGTTGAAGGCAGAGGTATAATCCTAAAAATTAAGTGGAAGTTTTAAATGCTGAAGAC